TCTGTTTAGTAATACTTTGTTTCAAGAATAATTCCTTTACTTTGTATAAGTCATTTAGTAATGGTTTATTATATTTTTTACAAAAGAATATTATACTTTTATTTGAAAAATACATAAATAAATCTAAATTGCTAAAATCTTATTTGAATAGTTCACCAAAAAAAACTCTACTTTATAATAATAATCTATAATTACAAACCCTTCGGATCAAATTTTAACAATTTAGATTTATTATTTATTTTTAAGTAAAATTATAAAGTCTTATTTTTAAAATATAAAGATTAGAGTTCTGAATGGTTAAAGTTATAAGGACTATGTTGTAATGAGTTGACGTTTAAAGATTGAGTTACTAAGGATTGACTTACACCAAGATAAAGTTTAGAGACCAGGTTATAACTTATAACCAAGTCAAAATTATAAAGATTAAAAAGATTAATTTTCTCTTATATTAATTAAAGTTAGTACTAAAGTTAAGAATAATATTATGATATATCAAATAATTAGCATGTACTATAACCAAAAATAAATTGATGAAGCTACAACCTAAATAGAAATATATGTGTGTGTGGGCATATGCATGATACTTGACTTAATAAGATTAATACAAAATACGTAAAAGTTTCTTATTTCACCAAATCTTAGGCATTATATAAATGATTACATAACAAAAAAACTCGTCTTTTTTTTATTAGAATTATATGTTTCTTCAAAGGACTTAATAGTGCTAAATTTGTATCACAAATCAAGTGTTGAAACATATGTATAGAATAGCTTTCATTAAACTAATGTCTCTGATACCAATGATTGGTATCGGAGCTATGAAAGAGAGTATAGGAAATATGATGAAGAAAGAAGGAAAAAGGAAGTGAGATGCAGTTAGAACAATTAAGAATTGCATATAATCAAATTATACCTCAACAAAAAAAATTCATAAAGAACTAACTAAGACCAAGAATATATAGAAAAATGCAATTTCTTTGCACACTGCTTAATATATCAAGAGCCTAAGTTGGGTTAGACCTGTGAAAGATATCTTTAAGTGTATGCAACATATCTTATCCTAGGGGTAGATATTTTCTATTTTGTGCATAGTTAAGGATACATTATATATAACCAAATATAAGTTGATAGATTATGTATGACTAAAGATAAGTTATAGATAGGAAGGAGGGACTGGGGAGACAAGTTGATGACTTTTATAATTTAAATTTGATCTTAAAAAGAAATCCTAGGGTTGTAGGTAATTGAAAAAGCATTCAAAATGCAAACATGTCATCTAGCCAATTATATATATATATATATATATATTTATAATAAGTTGTATAAACCCTACCAATAACAATGAATGAATAAAATATGCATTTGAGAAAACTAGAAAAAAGTCCACATTTGAGTTTTCCTCAATTTTTCTTATACATTTTATAATCATTTTCTGATTTATTTTGAGTCATTTGTGCTTTGCAATATTCAATGTTAAGACAGAAATAGAGCAGTATTGGACCAAGCCCAGGACTTGGTATTACGCTAAAGCTCGTCTCATGTCACCCATGTGTTTTTTCATTTAGTCTTTGGACAAGTGTCATCATAAAGTATATTCTTTGTATATGCTAAATATTTATCAACATAGTGATAAGTATGCATGGAAGAAATTAATTAATTAATATTGAAATACTCTTCCGATTCTTAATATAGAACTTAATTGTTGAGTTGATTTTGGTCCTAAATATAAGACTTATTTTTTTATTTATCAATTTTTTCTAAATTATCCCTATGAATGCTCCGTCAACCATGATAAAATAGAAGAGGAAAGGAGGATATTAAAGAAGATGATTATAGTGTTTTAGGAAAAACATGTCATATTTCTTATAATTAACTAATTTACCTTACTTCCTTAATCTAATCAAATTAGTTAAATAGGTCTTATATTAAGAACCGGAGGAGTATAATTTTAAACATTAAATTTCTAATCTAAGAGTCTTTACAATTTACACAAATATATAATTGGATCTAGCATAATTAAGCTTAGTAGATATATCAACGATAGAACGCCATATATAATTCATGTGTATGCAGAAGCATATCAATAGTTAATTACTTGCAACTTACGGATAATCATAAAAGAATTATCCAAAACAAGATAAGATCTTAATAAGAGTTTATAAAGATAAGGATAGTTTAGAAAAAAAATTATATATTTGCGACATAAGATAGATTAGAGTATTATATTTATTACTAATTTCAAGTTAATCTTTTTGCCTCTAGCTAGTATACAAGATAAGGTCCCTGCGTATATGTGAAGGTTGTGGGAAAATCCTGTGCATGGACCCCGCAAGCGTCTTCTTTATCCCTGGCCCACCATATATTATTCCTTTCCTCTACAAAGGTATGTTCTCACTTTAAAGGAGGTTGATATTATTAACTGGCCATTTTCGTATCAATCTCGTGGTACAAATATTTTGAAAATATATGCTAAGTGAAAGAGAAAACACAACCCGTGGGAAAGATATTACGGAGTATTTCAAAAATTTAAGATCCCTTGTTTATAATGAACTTCTTTGCATCATCCTTATTTGTAATTTCCTCCTCATTTTAAGTTTTTTTTAATTAAAAAATAAAGTAGTATGTTCTTCTGGCCTCCAGCAACCGCATTTCTTCTATAAATTGATTGATTGGACCTCGTTGTTCCTCCATTCACATACAGCAAAAAGAAGAAACGTGAGAAACTATGAGTAATATTCCCATTCTGCCCCTCTTCTCCCTCCTCCTCCTCCTCCTCCTTTCCTTCCCCACGAAACCACGAGCTGCGAGTCCTGATCCAGTGCTTGGCACTACAGGAAAAGAGCTCCGACCCGTTGTCCCATACCAGATCCTTCCGGCCACCGGAGGCTCTTTCACTCTCGCCGCTACTAATGTGAGCTTCATTATCCTTTGATCTGAATGCTTCCGAAGTTGGAGGTTTGTGTTTAGTTTGGTTAGTGATGGGAGATGAAGAGAATTAGTACATGCATTAATCGAATGATGGTCAATGATTTCGACTACTATATATATACCATTGGCAGAAGGATAAAGCCTTGTGTTTGTTGTTTCATATCATGTTGCTTAATTCAGAATCCTTTTCATGCTTTTCCTCCCTTCTGCTGTACTGTTTAGTGATCGTGATGATGAGTCTCTCTCACCGCGTTCGCCTTCTCAAATACTTCACCAGCCTGGTCCTAAGTTCCACCAGTTATGTCTTGATTTTTGTACACCTGGTAATGTCTGAATTTTAATTAATTTTTTTCATTTATATACTAATTATTATATACCTATGCATTAATTATTACGTATTTTAATAATTTAGTTTCTCTTTTTTCATAAGCTTTCTCTCATTTTTTCTAATATAATCTTTTGTACTCTCTACTGTTTAAAATATAAGATAAACTATGTTGAAACGACTTTTTTTTTATAAGATACTAATATCTACTTTTGTCTACGAATTTGATGAGTTTTTTTTTTCAATTTTACCCCTAACATGTATACCTTGTATAGTTTTTGTTTTAAAATGATTTTAACTAATTTCTTGATAAACATAAATAGATAAAGTTTATCATATATTTTTTGAAGTAGAGGGTGTATTATTTTTCTACTCATTCTCTCACTTGCACTTCTTATAAAAAATAAAGGTGTATTTGAAACAAAATATATAGGATTTTTTTTTTTTGGGATATAGGACAGGAAGGAGTACAATACAACACTTTTGTAAAATTATAATAGTAATAAGTCAGATTTTTTTTTTAAAAAAAAATGTGTGGGGGAAGGCGTGCTGTATTTGATTTTTTATTGGCTGGCGGATAAGAAAGACAAGAAACTAAAAGGATGTTTGGGTAACCGTAAAAACACTTCTCAGAGGTATTTTTTTACAAATCGAGACAAACTCCTCTGCATATGTTTTTGATCTGTGGATGAGGTGGGTTAGGGACACACTGTGAGCTATATGTTTTTGAATAAGGGGAGTCTTCATTGGCTTGCATTGAGATGTGAGAAGCGCAGCTGTCACTAAGCATGTGGTCAAAGGATGGACCAGTAAATATAGGCCCAATACTAGGCCCATGTATGTGGATGGACCGACCCAAAATGAACCTCTGTTGAAAACTGTCATGTGCTTGGACGTAAAGACGGAGGATGAATGGTGTATTATCGAAAATTTAAAACACAAAAATGACGGAGGGAGGATGGATTCGTTCTTTTTTTTTTTTTTTTTGGGGCAGAAGGATGGATTCATTCATAACAAAGAGGATCTTGCTGAGATTTTTTTTTTTTAAAGCTTGACAGAGTATCGGTTGGCAGCAATACCTTATAGTCAAGTATCATATTCCTTCGTTAATATAAGAATTAGATAATTAATTTATTTGTCTTTCTTAAAACATTTTTATCAATTATATGTATTAAAATTATATTTTTCTAAATATTTTTAATATATACAATTACTATAGAAATTACTTCGAGCAAAATATATGTAAGTATTGAAGATAAAGTAGATTGAGACTGCCAAATTGAATCTAACTAGCTCGAGGATCGAAAGTTGTACCATGTAAGGTCTCTTGCAACGGATAGCCATGAGTTTAACCCCACATAGTATCAAGTTGTCTGTCCCTTGAATTAAAGGAAAAAGTATGTCAAAAAGGAAAAGAAGATGAACTAATTAATTGACACTTTTACAGGAAGACTTGAAGGCATTTATAAACCTTGAAAACAGTGACGGCTCATGCCTTGGCAAGTAGGGCTTTCATTTTCAAGAGATAGGTCGATAATATCTAACCCTCCACTTTTTATGTCGATGTCATCCATATTCTATTTAGACAATCTAAATTAATTATTTCTATCTTTTTAATCTAAATATCGTTTTTATAAGTTTATAATAAGATAATTATTACATGTGTACTATTATACATTTTCCCAAAATAAACTATAAAAAATTTCAGAAAAGTTAAAAAAAAAAAAAGGAGAGAGGGGAAACACAATTATGGGGGAAATACTCGCTCATTTATTTATTGTTTTATATGCAACGGCAATACATATAGTACAGTGTTCCTCTAGGGACAAACTACATTCCGATATAGTGATGAACTTTATATTGATGAAACGATCTTCCGGCTAACTGAAACTGAACTTTATATATGACGAAAGCATATCAGAGAAATTGAATTTTGTAAGGCACATCACTAAGGGCCAGATGCTCGTAACCATGGCTATCAATGTAAGTCCCAACATCTTTGCACTGAACCTTACAGGTTCCGCACACAGTTGGGCAGTAAACCAACTTATAAGCATCTTCATACTTCTCAATCTTGAACCAGTTCCTCACTGTTTGCCGACCAGGATTCCCCACAACCCCACCCGTCGTCACGAAGTACTGTCCGGTGGTATTATCGTAGTCATCGAGCCTCCACACGTTGGACGAGTGAGGGCAACCTGTGTGTGTATTAACAGAGAACTTGATGTTCAGATCAGTAGAGACATGAATCTCACCTTTCTTGGGGTCAATGGGTATGAACAATGATGGTAGGCTCGGATCCTCTTGCACAGTAATTACGTCAGGTGGGCACTTTTTCCCGATTCTTACAACCTCAAGCCCACCGCTTGGGGGAGCGGGAACTGGAATTATGTAGTAACTGCGATCTGCTCGGAGCTTTGTGCCGCCAGAATCGAGAACTGGTTCCGGTTCTGCATTGGCTGCTCCTCCGAGCAGTGGCTTTATGCTCAAGGCGAAGAGAAGAACAAATGCTACCAATGTACGTGTGATCTTCATTCTTTGATATGAAACAAGCTTTCTATTTTCGGTTTGGTTATTGATGGGAGAGAATCAGAGAACTAAGCATGAATTTATAGTGGGCGGAATCCTGCATGGACAAAACTTGGACTGGACAGTGGTCAAGGATTTCGAGCTATACGATTGGCAATAAGGATAAGCTCTGTGTCGATGTGGAAAGCACATTTGTCTTTGTCGTCTTACTTGGCCGCTATCTTTTGCTTTATTCGCGAGAAGCCCACCGGCTTTGACTAACACACACAGATAAATAAATACACTTGAAGAGTGCAATTTGCAAAATCTATTAATTGTTACCGCCTACCTTTCTCCTCTGGTTCATGACCTCCTTTTGTAACGATGAATCGAACTTGGACAATGAAATGAGGTGTCCAATCTCGAGCAATCGCTACAAAAACAGTGAATTGTATCAATGAAATTATATTTCATCATCGCTAATTCATTGAAATTCTGTTACGATTTCCATCATTAAAATAATTAGTTTGCATTTTGAAGCTTAAAATTAGGTTTAAATCAAGTAGTTAATTACTAATCTCAGTTGAACAAAAGTCCTAGGTATGTGCTGAAAAGATAATATGATTTTCAAGAATTAAATCACAAATTAATCTTTTTTTTTGGAGCCATAGCATAGATACTTTTTAGAGGCTAACGCAGAAATTGAGAGAGAGAGAAAGAAGGAGAAAGGGTATATTGTCTTATTCATTGAATGGACTGTACAGAGGGTTATATATAGATGAGCACGTGAATGTTCTAACTAAATTACAGCTGTACACTAAGAGTAATAAAATAATCTCTAACCGAATGATATTTATCTAACTAAGTCTGTTACCCCCCACAAGCTGGTGAGTATATATTGATCATTCCAAAATTGGACATTAATCTCGAAAAAGGCTGAGGATCAAGGGGCTTTGTGAGAACATCAGCAAGTTGTTGTGAACTTCGAATAGGTAACAGATGAATGATGCCAGCTTGAAGTTTTTCTCAGACAAGATGACAATCTAACTCGATATGTTTAGTACGTTCATGGAAAGTAGGATTAGCAGCAATATGTCGAGCAGATTGATTGTCACAGTAGAGCATGGCCGGAGAAGAATGATTGATATGCAGATCAGCGAGGAGATATAGCAGCCATTGTATTTCACAAGTGAGAGACCCCAAAGCTTGGTATTCCGCTTCTGAAGAAGACCGAGATATTGTGTTTTGTTTCTTGGACCGCCATGAAATCAGAGCTCGCCCCAAAAAGACACAAAAGCCAGTAACAAATCTACGAGTGTCAGGACATCCAGCCCAATCAGAATCACTAAAAGCCTTAAGTTTGAAATTTGATGATGCTGGAAAGAAGAGACCTTTCCCTGGGCTGTGCTTGATATATCTCAGGACTCGAAGTGCAGCTTGATGATGAGTAGTTGTTGGAGCCTGAGTGAATTGACAAAGTTGTTGAACAGCATAAGAAATATCTGGGCGAGTTGTTGTGAGGTAAAGTAGGCGACCAACTAGCCTTCGATAGCTAGCTACATCAGTAAGAGGAGTACCATGATCCTTTGATAGTCGTGTAGACCTATCCATTGGTGTCAAAACTGGCTTGCAGGCAAGGTATCCAACATCAGAAAGAATGTCAAGAGCAAATTTTCGCTGGTTCAAAGTTATACCAGTAGTTGAGCGAGCAACTTCAAGGCCTAAAAAGAACTTGAGCTTTGCCAAGGTCCTTTATCTTAAAGGATTCATCAAGGAACATCTTGATGCATTTAATTTCATTGGGGTCATTGCCTGCAAGAATGATGTCATCCACGTAGACTAATAAAGCTGTAAAAGAGGTGGTATGACTGCGGACAAATAATGAATAATTAGATTTGGATTGACTGTATCCACAAGAAGTAAGAGCAGCAGACAATTTGGCAAACCATTGACGAGAGGCCTGTTTTAAACCATAGAGTGATTTTTGTAGTTTGCATACCATTTGAGGTTTAGAAGAAGTAAATCCAGGAGGCAGAGTCATATAGACTTCCTCATTTAAGTCCCCATGGAGAAAGGCATTATTGACATCTAGTTGCTCAAGATGCCAGTTAGAAGCTGCAGCGATTGCAAGTAATAATCGAACAGTGGTCATTTTGGCAACTGGGGAAAAGGTATCAAAATAGTCAACTCCCTCTATTTGGGTATATCCTTTTGCTACAAGGCAAGCTTTGTAACGTTCAAGACTCCCATCAGCACGAAATTTTGTCCTAAACACCCACTTACAACCAATTGGAGATTTGTCCTTAGGTAACTCAGTCAATATCCAAGTATGATTCTGCTCTAGAGCTGAAATTTCAACTTGCATGGCTTGCTGCCACTCAGGATATTGAATGGCTTCTCGATAGGATTTAGGTTCACGTGGAACAGTTATTGAACAAACAAAATGTTTATAAGAAGGAGATAAATGATTGTAAGAGAGAACACTCTGTAAAGGATATTTGCAGTCTGGAGACATGGAAACTGATTCATTAGTAGTAATTAAAGAACAGTGATAGTCACTTAGATATGTAGGCTGCTTGTGAGTTCTGGTGGAATGGCGAAGAGGAATGGAAATTGGTAAAGAAGGAGAGGCAGAAGAGTGTTGAGATGGAGGGCTATCAATGGAAGGAGATGATGGTGATGAATTTGGTGGAAGTAAATCAAGAACTGATGGTGAAGAGACAGGATCATCAACGGGGGTAAAAGATTGAGGCAGAGGAATAGAGTTAGGATGTTGTGGATTTGTGGTGAAGGGAAAAATGGATTCATAAAAGATAACATGTCTAGAAATGAAGATTTGATTAGTATGCAAATCAAGAAGGATGTAGCCTTTTGTGCCAGTTTTAAAGCCAAGAAAAACACATTTTCGAGCTCTAGTGTCAAATTTAGTACGGTGAACTGAAGAGGTACATGCAAAACATAAGGAACCAAAGACTTTAAGTGCAGTATAGTCGGGAGGTTTTTGAAAAAGTAACTGAAAGGGACATTTATTCTTTAAAATTGGAGAAGGCAAGCGATTGATTAAGTAGACAGCATGAATAATAGCATAAGACCAATAAATCATAGGTAAATGAGACTGAAACAGTAAGGCACGAGCAACATTAAGAATATGTTGGTGTTTCCTTTCAACTGTACTGTTCTGTTCTGGAGTTTCAACGCAAGATGTTTGATGTAAAATACCTTTTGAAGAATAAAGGAGACCATTTGAAATTCAGAACCATTATCAGTTCGAATGATTTTGACAGATTGATTAAATTGGTTTTCTAGAAAAACAAGAAGATTTTGTAAAGAAGTGCGAGCCTTTGATTTATTTTTGAGGAGACAAATCCAAGTGTGTCTAGTGAAATCATCAACAACAGTAAGAAAATATTTATGACCGTGAATAGATTTAATGTGAAAAGGCCCCCAAATGTCAGCATGTACAATCTCAAGAAAATGAGAAGTTTGAGTAACACTAGTTGGAAAAGACAACTTTCTTTGCTTTGCAAAATGGCATACATCACAACACGTATTGTGTGGTATACAAGGAATGAAAGAAAATTGTGAATGAAGAATGTCTAAGACGGAAGATGAAAGATGGCCAAGACGATAATGCCAGAGATTAAACTGAGAAGATCTAGAAGAAGCAGATACATAATTGACACAAGCAGCTTGTGAATTGTGACTACTCAGCATGTATAAACCATGAGAAACATTAGCAGAACCAATCGTTTTCCATGTCTTCAGATCCTGAATGAAACAATGAGAAGAAAAGAATATAAGACAACAAGAAAGTTCCAAAGTCATCTGAACAAGTGAAATGATATTGAATCGAAAGTCAGGTATATAAAGAACATTGGAAAGGCAAATAGTAGGAGTAATTTGAACTGTACCAGAAATGGTAGCAATAACAGTGGAATGTGTGGGGAGAGTAACACGGATAGGTGTAATTTCGGAATAAGATTTGAATGAGGTCAAAGAGAAACAAACATGAGTAGTAGCTCCACTATCAATTATCCAAGATGAAGAAGCATGAAGAGAAAGAACAGTACGATTACCTTGTTTGTCAAGATTAGGCATAAGAGTAAGAGAAGACATTTGATTAACATGATGATTAGAGGTGGATGGAGGTGTAGAGGAAGCGTGAGTAGCAGCAAGAGGTTGTAATAGAGCTAATAATTTTTGGTATTAATCTTGAGTTATCGGACTAGAATTGTTGGTGGCAGAAGGTGTATCGGACAAAACCCGAGTTGATGAAGAATCTGGTGTTGCAATGTTATGGACCATAGCACCATTATTTCGGAACTTAAAACCAGGTGGATAACCATGCTTCTTGTAACAGGTTTCGACTGTATGACGCGGCTTTCCGCAATATGTGCACACTTTGCTATTGTTCGATGGAACGGATGAGTGATTGAAAGGTGGCTTAGATGAACTTGATGCACGAGCAAGGCATACAGTAGTCTCAATAGATCCAGTCAGCTCATGTTCTTGTTGAATGATAAGTGAAAAGACCTTGTTGATAGGAGGAAGAGGATCCAATAACATGATTTGAGATCGAACATTAGAATACCGCTCATTAAGGCCTTTAAGGAAGCGAATTGCATAATCTTGCTGGATATAAGACTTAGCACATCACGAACAATCAGGTAAAGGGCGGAAATTAAGCAACTCATCCCAAATAATCTTCATCTTAGTGAAGTAATCAAAAACAGAGAGATCACCTTGACGGAATTGATAAAGTTCTTCTTGGAGTTCTGCTATTCGAAAAATATCACCATGACTGAAGCGTTCTTTCAGATCATTCCAAACATCAACAGCTTTATTGATCCAAATCACGCTTTGTGCAATTGAAGGAGAAAGTGTTCGGTTAATCCAAGTCAGAACCATAGTGTTGCAACGTTGCCATGCCGGAAACAGAGCATCGTCTTTGTCAGGAATGGAGAGAGATCCATCAACGAACTGAAACTTGTTTTTGCTCATTAGAGCCATGGTCATAGCCCGAGCCCAATGATGATAGTTTGATCCCGTGAGCGGAGGAGATACAAGAATAAGAGAAGGATTCTCATTTGGGTGGAGATAGAAACAATTAGCTGGATCTTGAGATTTATCAGTTATCGAAGAAGATGAACTGTCAGAAGCCATAGGTCAAAGGGATAGAAAGGAAAGGAAAAAGAAAAAGAGAATATGATCAAGGGCGCAGATTAACGGAGCATATCCGCTCTGATACCATAACGCAGAAATTGAGAGAGAGAGAAAGAAGGAGAAAAGGTATATTGTCTTATTCATTGAATGGACTGTATAGAGGGTTATATACAGATGAGCACGTGAATGTTCTAACTAAATTACAGCTGTACACTAAGAGTAATAAAATAATCTCTAACCGAATGATATTTATCTAACTAAGTCTGTTAGAGGCCATGGGAAAGTTCTAAGGGCTTAAATGAAGGAGAACACTAACAGGGATTTAAATGTAAAGTCAGAAGGGTTTGAATTAGAAAAAAAGAATATGAAAAGGATGTAGAGACCAAATCGTAGTTATTAGAAGTTTATATTACTTAAATGTAAACAAATATTATGAAATTTCAGAATAGTATCGGAGATTGAAAAGGGAACTAGAAAACATATGAAGTTAGGAAAATGATTGTATGCTACTACCTCTTGTTTTAAGAAGATTAAGAAAATTAGATAAATTACTTTAAAATATTATTTTTTTAACAAACTAATTTATTTAGCTTGTAAACTGATTATAAGCTAATGATTTATATAAATATTTGAGGGAGATTATATTACATATGCTGCAGTTAGGTAATTTTTAGTTTTCTTGATTTTCTTAAATTAGTCAATTATATTGGTCTTATATTACTTTCGGTCCTCAATATAAGAGTTTGTTAACTAATTTGAGTAGATTAAAAAAATTAGTTGAGTTAGTTGTTTATAATAAATATATGTTGTTTTTCCTAAAATACTGTTATTAATCAAGCGTATTAGCTAAAACGATTATTTGATAAAATATTTAACAAAGTAATTACCATAAGAACTAGCTTGGGAAAGATGAAAAAATAGTAGAGACAAAAAAGATTGGGTCTTATATTTAGGATCAAATTCAACATCAAATTAGTTTTGTATTAAGGATCAAAAGTAGTGTTAAGGACCGAAGATAGTATTTTTTTTTAAAAGAAAAAGTCTTCGGAGATATTGAAGAGGATTACATGAATGACAAGTTATGTGAAATCAGTTGTGTAATTTTTGAAGGTTTTGGGTCTTATAAGTCCCATTTGATATGAAGCATTGAAAGTGATGGATAGGAGTTGAGATTGTAATTGAGAAAAATCATTAAAATAATATTTAGCATAAGTAATGACTTGTTAAATAGGATTAGACAAACCCATAGAGGTGGGATTGGAAAATACCACTTCTCCCCATGGTGTTCCAAAATCCTGCATATATGTATTTGATTAATCCCATATAACAAATAATTTTTTATGCTAAACACTCTTTTAATAAATTTTGTCAATCTCAATCTCTTTCCCTACCCTTGATTTTTTAATGCTTCCTACCAAACGGGATTGAGACATAGATCTGGCTGCACATCTAATTTCATTGCCCATAATGGCTTCATATTTATTTAGACGATCTAAATCATTTATAAAATTTTGTGAATATTTTTACTTTTTATAAGTGGATGGTAAGATAATTACTATATATGTGTGTGTACTATATAGTCTCAAAATTAAAATATAAAAAAGTAGAAGATAAAAGGACACTTGCATGCATGGGCATAAAAAGCTCAACCAGCTTATTTATTTATTCGTTGTTTTATTAGTCGGAGAGAGCAGGATATAGAAACCCAGCTGCTTGGGAAACCTATAAATTATACATTACTCATGAACTTCTTGTTGATGGAGCAATCTTCAGGCTCTCTGAAACTGAACTTTGTACGGCGAATCGCTCAAAGCAAGACGCTGGTTTCCGTCGCTGTCAACATGTATCCCAATATCTCTGCACTGCACAGTACAGTAACTGCACACAGTTGGGCAGTACATCAACTTGTAACTATCTTCATACTTCTCAATCTTAAACCAATTGCTCACTGTTTGCCACCCTGGATTGCCGGTGACCCCACCCGTCGTCACGAACCACTGTCCGGCGGCATAATCGTAGTCGTCGAGCTTCCACACGTTGGACTGGGGACAATCTGTGTCTGCAGAGAACACGACGTTGAGATCAGTAGAGACACGAACGACGCCTTTCTTAGGGTTGACGGGTGTAAACGACAATGGTTGGCCGGAGTAGCCTTGGACAGCCACAACATCTAGTGGGCATTCTTCTCCTATGCTTGCAAGAGCAAGCCCACCGCCGTTTGCCGGAATTACGTAGTAATTGGCTCCTGCTCGGACCACTTTGCCGGAAGTATCAACAACTTGTTCCGGTGCGGCATTGGCGGCTCCGAGCAGTGGCTTTGTGGTGAAGACGAAGAGAAGGAAGAATGCTGCAAATGTGATCTTCATTCTTTGATTTGAATGCTCACAAACTATAGCTTTCTTTTTGGTTTGATTGTTGCTGATGGGAGATGATCAGAGAATTGAGCATGAATTTATAGTCCACAGTGATGGTGGAATCTATGGACTTACTTGCACTTATTTTCAAGGATTTCGACTTATACGATTGGCCATAATGAAAAACTCTTTCCATTTAAAGTTGCTTTAAGCTAAAGTCTTTCTAAAAACTTCTTTTCCGTTGAAACTTGAAATTAAAGAAGTGTTCCTCGCCGGTTCCTGCCTAACAATATACTACTTTCGTGTTCCAGCTGACCCCTATCCCTTGCTTTGTTCGTAAAGCTAGTTTTGTGAACTATGGATTGTATAGAACATAGGAAACTCCCATCTATTTTTAATATTTTTAAATAATGAAATGCATTATTTGAAATTCCTTACAAACAATAGGAAGGTTTATATATTTTTTCATATACAAAAAACACATTTATTTTTAATTTTTCATCAAGCACCTAATTTTCTGATTAGCCTAATTAAAGTTCAAGCATTAACTTTTTATTTTATTCTTTATATTTCTTAAATGAATAAATTAAAGTAGTGCTTGTGTTTCTTGGCGACGCTGATAACGATAGTTCCAGCATTGAGGAACAAAGTTTTTCACTTAATAAAGAAGGACATTTTAATAAATATATTTTGATATTTAATCTCATTAAAGTCCTTTGGAATTTAAATTATTTTTTTAATTCAAACGAGTTAACTGCAATTAGGATCTTTACAAATTAAAGAATCTGATTGACAATTTTTCCTTTTTATAAATTGTGCGCTTTTGTGTAGATATTTTGAATTTCAGCTTTTTACTATACAATATGGTTTCTCAAAATGTGATAGAGAAAATTGTTTAAACCTACCATGCGGTAAATGCACAAAGCGCATCTAGTAATAAAGTTATGAATAAAGTATTATGATTCCCACAGTAGCTCGGTTTAGCAATATTGACAATAAAACATAAACTACAATAAGAAAAATAAATCTAAAACACGACTAATGTTAACAGTGGTTCTAATTAAATCATGCTCATACGTTGGAGGGTGTTAAGAATATTATGCTCAGTTTGGCCAACTATATTCCACTCAGATATTATTAGCATAAGTAGTGACTTGGATTATTATTACAGCCTCGATCACTTCTTAATTAGTGGGTCTAATTTTCCTCTTTACTGCAATAAAAGTTGTGCTAGTAGGTTTCTTAATCACCCATTAGTGTCTTCTGAAGAGCACGCATTCTAATTATACTAACCCCTAGGTCCCGTTTGGTATGAAGTATTAAAAACGAAGAATAGAGATTAGGATTAGAATTGAAAAAATCTATTAAAAGAAATTTTAGCATAAGAGATTGTTTATTACGTGGGATTAGACAAACCTACGTACGTAGGATTGGGAAATACCATAGGGAGAAGTTGTATTTTCCAATCAGCCTACTTTCATGGGTTTGTTAATCTTATATGACAAACAATTATTCATGCTAAATGCTTTTTAGTAATTTTTTTAATTGTAATCACAATTCCTATCTCTAATCTTTTACGCTCCGTACCAAATGGGACCTAGTTCTTCAGCTAATTACTTGATTGGACTTGACTAAGCCAAATCAAAAGTGACATACCCCCCCTTTTTTTGGGGGGGGGGGTGTTCATTCCAAAAAGAGACCAAAACACCCGATCCCCACACCATTCAATTAAAGGTTCAGGCTAAATTTCCTGTTTATGGTCTTTTATAGTCCAACCAGATTTCCTCATGTTTTAGGACAAACAAACACACAATTAAAGAGTTTATCAGAACATCTTAGTCCCTTACAATATAACAAATCAAGACTTGAATCCTCACTGAAGATGTGTCCAGATGGAATATATTTTTTCTTTTAGCCATATAAAATTACTGTAATTTATTAGTATGATGTGCTACATGCATCAAAGAAATTATGAATACGTTTAAATTTAAAAAGTTTTAGCAATATTTGGCTAATATATATTATCTCTGATCATAAATAAGGAGTTAATATAATGAATAAAGCTTTGGAAAAAAAAAATTCATTGGCACGTTCTTACAAGAACAATAACAATTATTTATTATTTTTACACATCTATATATGAGATAATAGATCGTATACGTGTTTATTATACCACTTATATCAAATCTACGTGCCCTTGCGAACCAAACCCCGGGGGGGGGGAGTTTATGCGGCCATTAAACGTTATTGGACGAAAACTTTGACTGTTGCATTGTTTCAGCTCATGGATTAAAGCCATTCCTTGACTCTACGAATTCAAGCCCCATTCACTTCAAATCTCCATCCATATATCCGAAAAGCATTAAACGATGAAGATGATCACAGTGCTAGCATTGGTCCTTATCATCGCCTTGACCACAAAGCCGATCCTCGGAGCTGCCCCCGCTGCCGGCCGGGCGACTCCAGAAGCAGTACTTGATACTACAGGGAAGAAGCTCCGAGTTGGCGCCTATTACTATATCGTTCCTGATGATCCGGCCCAATACGGTGGCGGTATTGATCTCGCAAGCATAGGCCAAGATTGCCCGCTTGATGTTGTGGCTAGCTATCAAGGCGAACCAGTGTCGTTTACCCCTTTTAATACAAACAAAGGTATCGTTTATGTGTCTACTGACCTCAACATTGAGTTCAATGCTGAAACAGATTGCCCTCAATCCAATGTGTGGAAGCTGGACGACGATGATTATTATTCCTCTGGGCAGTGGTTCGTAACAACTGATGGCGTTGGAGGAAAGCCAGGTGCAGGCACTGTGAGGAATTGGTTTCAGATTGAGAAGTATGAGAATGCTTATAAGCTGGTTTATTGTCCTCATGTGTGCAGAGATTGCAAGGTTCAATGTAAGAGTATTGGATTGTATCATGATAGCAATGGAAACAAGCGACTTGGTCTGAATGATACGCCTCTGAAAGTCCAGTTTAAACGACAGCCTCGGAACTCTTAAAGACTTCGAATAATCCATCAATTATATCCCTTTATATCTCCCTTGCTTGCTTGTACTAATAAGGATAGCATTCCATGTATTTGCATGTCTTTATAATGGAAGAAATAGATTGATGAATATATCAGCAAGTTTTACCTTTGGTGAGATTTGATATTTTGGAAGTTGTTTCAAGGTCAGATGATGGACTTGGCCCCCGCGCGCGCGCGCGCACACACATATTGTTTTTGCTTTTAGTTATGACACCTTGTTTTGCAATATTTTTAAAGGTGTTACTTCATAAAATGAATTTGTTTATATATATAATTCAGAATATCCTCAAGGCACTTCATGTCAATAATTTTTTCGCCTTGATTTTCATGTAGAGCAAAAATAATAGACAGGATAACAATTAAATAAAGCATCCAATGCGGTTGTGTTTCTAAAACCTAATTCATTTTTTTCTTATACACATAGTTTCAATTCTTGTTGTTAAAACTATAGTTTTATAGTGATGAATTAACATACCTTTGTTGCAGTAAATGTTGTTGCATATATTCAAAAAAAATAACTAAATATTAATGAAAATAATTTTAAGAAACCAACTCATATTTTTACACGTAATTAATAGCATTTAATGTTGCTCTGGAAAATGAGTAACTAGAATCTTTAGTTTTATGGGTTCTATCACAAGACACACACACACACACACACACACAGAGGTCTTGCTGCACATCTAATTTCATTGTCCGTATCTCATTTAGACGGTCTAAATCATATTTGTTAATTTTATTACTTTCTATAAGTGGATGATAAGACAATATAATTACTATATATGTACTATATGTTGTCAAAATAAAAACGTAAAGAGTAAAAGATAAAGGGAGACGCGCATATGGGCAGAAAGCTCTACCAGCTTATTTATTTATTCGCTGTTTTGTTAGTTGGAGGGAGCAGGACATAGGAACCCTACTTGGGAAACCTATAAATTATACATTATTCATAAAATTCTTGTTGATGAAGCAATCTTCAGGCTCTCTGAAACTGAACTTTGTATGGGGAATCGCTCAAAGCAAGACGCTGGTATCCCTCACTATCAACATATATACCAATATCCTTGCACTGGACAGTACAGTTACTGCACACTTTTGGACAGTACGTTAACTTATAGCTATCTTCATACTTCTCAAGGTTGAACCAATTGTTCACCGTTTGCCAACCAGGATTGCCGATGACCCCACCCGTCGTCACGAACCACTGTCCAGTGGTATCATCGTAGTCGTCGAGCTTCCACACGTTGGACTGAGGACAATCTGTATCACCAGAGAACACAACGTTGAGATCCGTAGAGACACGAACGACACCTTTCTTAGGGTTGACGGGTGTGAACGACAATGGTAGGCCTGAATAGCCTTGGACAACCACAACATCTAGTGGGCATTCTTCCCCTATGCTTGCAAGAGAAAGCCCACTGCCGTTTGGAGTTGCCGGAGCTGGAAATACGTAGTAATTGGCTCCTGCTCGGAGCACTTTGCCGGAGGTATCAACAACCTGTTCTGGTGCTGCATCGGCGGCTCTAAGCAGTGGCTTTGTGGCGAAGGCGAAGAGAAGGACGAATGCTACAAATGTGATCTTCATTCTTTGATCTGAATGCTCACAAACTATAGCTTTCTTTTTGGTTTGATTATTGCTGATGGGAGATGATCAGAGAATTGAGCATGAATTTATAGTTACAGTGATGGTGGAGTCTATGGACTTACTTGCACTTATTGTCAAGGATTTCGACTTATACGATTGTCCGTAAGGATATAAACTCTTTCCACTTAAAGTTGCTTTCCAATGAAAGTAGTGTTTTCCCGCCAGTTCCTGCCTAACAGTATACTACTTTCTCTGTTCATAAAGCTATTTTACGCCATTTATTATGAACTATGGATTGTACAGAACATAGGAAGTTCACATCTAATTGTATACTCCTTCGGTTCTTAATATAGGACCTAATTATTGAGTTGATTTTGGTTCTAAATATAATACCTATTTATTATATTTATCAATTTTTTTCTAAATTACCTCTATGAATATTTTCTTAACCATAATAAAATAGAAAAGGAAGAGAAGATATTACGGAAGATTATTATAGTGTTTTAAGAAAAATATGTCATATTTCTTATAATTAACTAATTTACCTAACTTCTTTAATCTAATTAAATTAGTTAAATAGGTCTGGAGGAGTATTAAGCAATTTAATGCAATGTATGTCAAATTCCCTACAAGCAATAGGAAAGGTTTTATATATGTGCGCGCGCGCGGATCTACATAAACACATTTATTTTTAATTTTTCGTCAAGACGCTCCTAAATTTCGGATTAGGTTTTTAAAGTTCAAAGATTAACTTTTTATTTTATTCTTGATATTTTTTCAATGAATAATCTTTAGGTTGGGATCTAAACTTTTCGTAACATTTAAAAAAATAATTTTTTTGAATAAATAAATTTTCATTAGTCGAATAATGTTTACCGATATATTTACATATTAATAAACCCCTTATAATAATCATAAGATTTGAACCTATGTTGGGCATCACTAGCTCTCTCACATTGGATTCTCAACTGCAAATTTAAGAGTTACATTTGAAACTTAAATGTCTTATTTATATACTCCTGAATTTGTAGTTGTTTAACTTTATCCAGTTGATTTTTGAAAAAATTATACCTAGATCCTGAACTTATAAATGTTTTACTCTTCTAATCTTTAACGTGAGACTTAATTGTTGAGTTAATCTTAGTTCTAAATATAAAACTTATTTCTCATGTTTATTTATCTTAAATTACTCTTATTGATACTCTTTCAACCATAATCAAATAGGAGAGAGAATGAGGATATTAATAAAGATGATTATAATATTTTAGAAAAATATGTCATATTTCTTACAATTAACTAATTTACCTAACTTCTTAATCTAATCAAATTAATTAAATAGGTCTTACATTGAAAAACAGAAAAGAATTTTGGAAGACCTTGAATATGTGAAATTATTTTTGAAGGTGATTCCCTGCAAAAACAATAACCTGCATTGTAGTTTAAAGCTGCTAAAACAACTAAAGAGTGGTATATTTTGGCTCTTCAAAAAAAAAAATAGATGCAGTATGTGCAAAAAGTTTCCAAGGATTAATAGAGTAAAATAATATTGCATAATTTATTGCGAACTTAAATAAAAAGGAGAGATACTAATCTGTATGAATATACATGCTTGACAAATTTAGAATACATCTCAATAGATTCCTTGTTTTTGTTTTTTTTTTTGTTTTTTTTTTGGGTGCCTAGATGCCTTATTCTTTAACGCCTCTGATAAATGACCTAAGTTCCAAGTAAAATGAAAGACATTTTAATATTTTAGGATAATAAATGATGAAACTTTGCACTTTTATGATTTTTAAAGAAAACAAATCAAAATTGCACAATTTTATCTTACTTAAGACATAAAGCCATATTACATGACACATCAAAACATCTACCATTTTATATAAAATTTAATGAAAAAAATTAATAATTAAGAGGTTAGAACTTAGAACATCATAAAAAATATTAGAGGCCTCATAGCCTGATCACAACATGCATCCATCGTTAATTATATCACTATCTATCCATGCAATCACACACATGTTATACTAAAACTCTAACTATACACACACATAGTACAGTCTCTTTTTTTTTTTTTTTGTTTTCTGTTTTCTCTAACTCTCTTCTATTAATATATATCTTTGATCCCTATTGTTTTTCACATAAAATCATGCAGTTCGCCTTCGACAATTATATTTTATAATCTTTATTTGAATTTGCTTGAAATTATTTGAAGTGGAATGTAATCCCTCTTTAATTTCTTTAGAGAACATTTGTAAGTTCTTGTAGTTTGGTACAATTTTATTTTTTTCAACCATCTATCCTGATTTTATATTTTAAACTTTGAAGCTTTATCCTGTTTCCTTTTATTTTGGTCTCATGGTATTAGGGGACTTAAAAAACTCTGTTTCTATTTTCTTTACTGCCTTCTTTTCTTTCCTTTCTTTGACTACCATTTTGCTTTTCTTCTCTCCCTTCATACTTCAAAAGTAGCCTCTACCATCTCTCATCCATACTGCAATTGCCCTTCCTGTATTCATCTGCATGAAAATGTAGCACTAATATTTGTCTCTCCTCCTAACTACCTTCACTTTCTCGTCTTTTATTAACTAGTATCAGGGTTAGGATCTCATTTTTCTCCGCACCTTAATTTTTTTCTGAGATAGCCAAACACGCTCTCTTGTTCTTCTGTTAGAAAAGAAAAAAAATATTAGTACAAATAGAGCAACAAAAAATCATAACGAGGCTATCAAGAATAAATGATGAGAATGTAAGGGTGTTGACTTAAATGAGTTTTTTTTAATAGTGTAATGGATGAAGTAAACTATACCTTAAACTTAACTGCAAATGAAGTGCAATGCAATATGTGAACCTTAAAACAATCAACAGGAATACATCCATCTTCTAATGGACAAATGCTTAAGGCGACTATGATTGATATTATTGTGCAAAGCTATGAAAAAATGATGAAAGGAATAAATCTATTTCTATTGCTAAAATAGATCTCACAATACTTGAAAAGAGTAGTCCTCTTCATTGAAAAAGGAAGTATGCACTGAGCTTAAAAAATTGAAATAAATGAAGATTGATTAGCAGCTAAAATACCACTTCTTCTTGTATAGGAAAGAAAATACCAAGAGAACATCTTTTGGGGTTCCACATCACATTAGGCTACAGGCACAGGCACTAGTTAAGTTAACGACTAATGCTGAAATTTATTGAAAGAAGCAGCCATTGTTCGAATGCTTTATGTATTTTTCCTTTAGGAAGGAGAATTTTAGACCTTCGATTCTTCTTTTTTCGCGGTATGACTTCCCTTATTTGTAATTTTGGTACTTGTGGATCTTTTGTTAAGACAATTTCAACAAGATTTATACACCATTTTACTTTTGAGTTGGAAACTGAGCTCCTTTCCTTGTGCAAGTGATCGATGGTCTAAATTCTGAGAATGAGTGAAAAAAATTATTTATGATTAGTGAAGACTTTTGCTATTTTCTCTATTAATTTCATGCTTATGATTAGCTGATGTATTCTTAGCCCACTGGGCATAGATATTCTAATTGTTTTGTTGGAATACAGTTCCCATTAGAGCAGCCGCATGGGCTCCGTTAGAAAGGTTAGTGTTTCAAGACGCGTTAATTGCATTCAATATATTTAAATGAAAAAGGTATATTTTCAATTTAAAATAATCTTGAATTCTTATAGAATATGAATTTTTTTTCCTTCTGTTTTTTGATGATGAAATGAATCTTTTTTCCTGCTTTTGATTCTTTCCTCCCCCCGCCCTTTTCTTTCTGCTTAATAGAGATCACTCTATGCTCCAGCTACAATCTAATCTCCAAGAATTGGCACAAATGCGTACTCTGAAATCTATGGGGAGCTTTATTTTCTCCTGTTGGTTTAATTTCCTTGGATAATATCATTTCTTGTTTTGCGTTCTATTAAAAAAATTGTAAAAGTATAGTTTGTCCAACTGATGTGAACTCTCTTTGACTTTGCGGGGACATCTTATTCCTATGGATGGATGCAAACCTTCTGCTTGTCCCCCTTCAAAAGATATTATTGTCATTATGACATTTATCTTTATTTTAACTTTCTCTTTATTATTAGTTTAGTTTGTGCACAACTATATTTTACTTAATATTTTGATTTTAAAATCAAATATAAAAATAATTTCATTTTAATTCGATGGTTTTAATTTTTTATTGGAATTTATTTTCATGGCATGATAAATCAAACAAGAGTATTGTCATTGTAAATGTTAAACACTTTCTTTTCTTTTTTATTTTCTCCTTTCTATCCAGACACGAGGATAGAAAATAAATATCATCCCTCCAATTTTCTCTCCCCTCTATTTTCTCCCGCTTCCATTTTTTCTTGTTCTTATCCTAGTTTTCTTCCCATTTAAACATAGTGTACTTTTATTACACGTAACGAATGTTGCCTCAACATTCTCCCGAAAGCATGCATATTTAATCTGAAAAGTGCTATCCTTCCAAATGGACCTTTAGCTCTGGCTGAACAAAGAATTATTGAACAGCAATATATACTCAAGCCTGCCGTTCTTTTGGCTTCACTTCCTAAATTACATTATGCAGCAACCAATATTTGCTATGCTACAAATCAGTTTGTAAAATCAATCAATTTTCATAAGGCTCAATGCGCCTGTTACTATCAAAGTACTGACAGTTTACACCATCTAGCCTTTCATTAAATTTTTCTGCTAGCTTTGACCATTCAGCTTTTATATTTGCTTGGGTTTTCTTAGCCAATTCCCACTCATCTCTTAAGTGTGGGGCTTGTTCTTTCAACTCATCTCTTTGTGCTTTAAGGGTCTTTCCTTCCTCGAATGTTTCCCTCTTTCTCTTGGTTGCCGTGGTCTTAGCTGACTGAAAAACACAGATGTTTGCTTTAATGCCACTTAGCTGCTCTTCCAATTCTTTCTTTCTTTCCTCCAAACCGGCTAACTGGCTGCTTAATTCGTTTTCTAATGATGCTAGGTCTTTAAACTGGTTCTTGTTAGCTTCAAGACTTTCTTCTACTTTATCTGCTTTCAACAGGTTCGTGCTAGCACACTCAATTTGCCGACCAGCATTATTATATTCAGAACTCCACTGAGTAAATCTTTTCGAAACTTCTGATATTAATAAGCGCATTTCCAGAGAGATCCCATCATATACCGTGAGGTTGGAAAGGTACTCTAAGGTGGACTTCATCGAATTGCGCTGCTCGGAATGCAATACAACGGAAAATTCTTTGGAGAGAAAGTCTTGCAATGTTTTCAAAGCTTTCTCAGTCTCTTCGCATGGAGGGGTTCTTGGCAATTCACTGCTGCCCCTATTATCTTGGGGAGTGGACACAACTGAGGTCTCAGCATCCAAGGAAGCATAAAATGCTCTCATTTCTGCATCATCCAATGTTAGATCGATCTTGTTTTTGGGAGAGTTAGTGTTAGCCAATCCCAAAATGGATTTGGTTTTTGGATGTTGTTCCCTCCCAGTAGCAGAATCAGTAACGATCGATCCTTGACTATTTGGTGTCTCAGGCAAAGAAGTGACAAGGGATGCAGGTTCAGCCTTTAACGGGTGAGCCATATATACTGTGTTTGGTCCAAATTCTACAAGTTAGCAGAGATGGAAAACGTTAATTCAGTGGAATTGCCGGTTGACAAATGGTACTACCAGAACACATCAATCAGAAAGTTGCAATTATAAAGTAAAGACAAAATAGAGTTTCTCACAGCCAACATATATATGAAGGGGAATTCTGTCCTCAATTCGATTTGGATGTTAGTATCTTCCTATTTATCTGTGGGAAAACATTAAAATTATGCATTGTCTTTGAAACAAGTAAGCCGTTCAGGTATTTGGGCTACATTACGAGTTGTGCGGTATTTCTCATTTGTTTCTTCCAGTCCTCTGCGATTGACCACCAAACACCAGCCTTCCACCAAATAAATAAGTTCTACCAATACTGTCTCACAGTTTGACCTCCCAGAACGATAACTTCGTCATTCAGAAGGTGAATCATGAGCTGCCAACTCTTTCTTGTCTTTCCTTTCACCATTGGCATCACAAAAGCCAGAAGCAAGAAAGCCTTTTTCTCACTCTAAAAGTCGGCTTATTTTCCTCCAGCCCCCTCATTCTTCCCCTATCCAGTATTACAAACAACCCAACTACCAGCCGTTTTCATTTTTATTGCCTCCTATATCAGCATTAATGAACAGACAAGTTAACTACTTTTTCTTAACCCAACTGTCAATCAGCATTCCAATTGACAATAGTAATCATGAGATATAAATCAACATCACATTATGACAACTTGAAATTCACTTTGGAATGAATCATTTTATTATTATCAATACAAACCAAACTTCTAGAATCTTTTGAAAGAGTGAAATGGTAGGTGCTTATCAATTTGATCTTTATCTCATTTCCTTTTTATATCAACCGAGCTTGGAATCATTAAAAACACATCTTCATTAAAGTAAAAACACACAGATATTCAAGCATGCGTAGTTCCTTAAGTAGATATCAACTTTAGCATCCTCTCAAGTAGCAGCAGTAGATGATGTACTTCTGATGCTCTATTATGAATACTTTAATCTTCATGGGTTCTATACTGTTATGTGATATATTAGTGACTCAAAGCAGACGAGACTATAACCGATACTTGTATGGGGGATCCGTTAGATGTACATAACCAACGCAGCCTATAACTGATGCACTGCCGTGTATTGTTCCTCTCATTAAAGAATATTATAATCAAACTAAATTAAAAAAAAATTAAAAATTTGTGAATATGTTTGGAGATAAAATGAAATTGGGGGCTAATATTTCACATTCATAGAGAATGTATGCTTACCTTTGTCAATACCTACGTCCTGAACACGCGGTAAAGTCATTAGCTCTTGCTCAACACCATCCCCTGTTTTTGGACGCTTGACACATCTGACTATGTGACGCTTTAAATGAGAAGTTCCGCAGTTATCTTGCAACAACCTGCCACAGTGTTTGCATTGAACTTTACTACCATCGCTTGTTTGAATTTTGAGCATATCTTCCCATACTTTAGAAGTCAGTTTTGATCGCTTGGAACTGTTAAATTCTTCATATTCATACTCTATGTCAACACTTGTATTCTGATGTGTCATTTTGTCCTGTTGAACAATAATACATATATTTAGCAAAGCAACCGGATTTTTAAGGGGGAGAAAAATAAATATCTAATCGTACATAACAGTGACATTTATACTTTTCATGTAAGACAAATTTGACACCCTCATATTTAAGCTACAGCCAAGCCAACAGAGCTTTTATATCAGATGCCTTAACAGATGAAACGTACTTTCAAATTTTAAAATGAATAAAGAATCTACGAATTAAATTATTAAGACATACAACTGCCATCAGTTCAGTGTATTTTCACCTTCTACAGCAAGTTAAAAAACAGAGAAGTATAACCTACCATCAAAGATAATAACTTTTCTAAATAACATTTGTGAGGGAAGGGGGAAAAAAAAGGGTACAGTCATAGTAAATGCATGAAATTATAGTATAAGTAATGAGAACCGTAAGTTAGATGTAAAATCCAACAGCCAAGAAAAATATAACAGAATTATTCTTCACTTTTTCCCATAAATTACAGAATACAATTAAGGAGCAGGACCTAGCCAGAAAATTGGATACTTTACCATTCAATTGTTATGCGTACAACAGTGAAAACTGATCCCTCGATGACATCTTAGTTTGAAGGCCATTAATCACTATCTTATTTCCTAGCAATCTACATACACAAGCTTAGAAATTTCCAAGAAACTATCGTATCAACATGCATTCCCTCATGCAAGTGAGCCATCAGGAAAAGAAAAATATATAACTTCTAATATGATGTTATTGAGTTGCAATTTCCTACCAATCTTATATAACTTCAATAAGTGACAAAAGGAAGATAAGGTCAAGTAACCTGAAAGTCAAACTTTTTAGTCCAATTATTTGAGAGAGAGAGAGAGAGAGAGAGAGAGATCAACGGATTAACCAAACCAAACTTCTTTTTGTTCTCAACAATCCATCTAGTTAAAGTTAGAATTTGATAATATGTCAACAGAAATTGTGAGGAACATTTTAAAGCAAGATAAGAAATTTCAAATGTTCGTACAGTTTGGTCCTCTCCACTCCTAGATCACTACAACCGTGTAGAATCACTTCAGTTTAGTAAGTTAAGTTGTGGCAAACAGCACTTTAAATATTCAAAACTTTCGTGCTCGATAATTCTGAATGAAAATTCACCAACGGATTACATTCCAGAGGCATTCGCTCCAAATTTTGCTATACTCATATGAACCCACTATATCTTCCCCATCATAAACTAAATTTATAATCAATTGAAGGCACCAAATTTAAACTCCCTACAATATCATTTTAGCAAGGGAGCAATCAAAGAAGGGAAATATAAATTAATCGAAGATCGAAAGGAAAATGAAAATTATGTGCCTACTTTAGAATACGAGAGAATCTTTTGCCTACGTTCTGCTGCGGTATCCAGCAGTGCTAATACCGTCTCCAAACACCTCGACCGGCCGCGACGGAGACCCCTCAATGTCGTCAGATTTTGAGAAACGAGAATGGCAGACAGAGGTAAGGGCCGGAAAAAAACCGCGGGTCTGTTATCCAGCAAGCCAGGCTGTGGGCTTTTGGGCTTAAGCCCAGGCATCGTTCATCCCTTTTTATACATATGGTCTTTTATCATCCTTGTTGACCAAAATAAATAGATTACTTCTATAAATACTACATCTGGTTCTTAATATAAGATCTTATTTAATTTTTATTTTGATTTTAAATATAAGATTCAAATTTACTTTGTCTCTCATATTTATGTATTTTTTTTAAGATAATCCTTCTAACAATAATAGTTCTAGTCAGTACACTTGATTAGTAAAGATATTTTAGGAAAGACAACACATATTTATTATAAATAACTAACTCAAGTTCTTTTCTTAATCTTCTCAAATCAGTTAACTAACTCTTATAAATAAGACTGAAAGTAGTAGTAATTTATGAGAGAATAATATCTCTACTAACCCTTCTCTCTACTCGAGCGGAGTGTCTCCATTGCATGTTGTCTCCACTTTGTCTCTATGTAAGTAAAACGATGCCATTTTGCAACTTTTCAGCAGTCCCACATTTTTTATGCATGCAAATGCAGTGACACCGTTTTCCTACAGAACTGATCTGGTGTTATATATTAAGGAAAAACAATTTATCGCAGTCGCCCCCGTGGTCCTCCTCATCGTTGCCCAGATCTCATTGTCATTTGGAGGGGTGAGATTCCACTTATGAGATATGATACGCACTTGCTCCCAACCCATGAACCCCAACAACGAAGTTGGGTTTTATTCCCAAAACAATTTCAAATCCGTCCTTCTGACCTTCCCTTGTTTTCACTCTTCTGTTGTCACATCCCTTCTCTGCTTAATCCTCATCTAACAAGATCAGTTTCCCAAGTTTAGGTGTGTTATTTGATGGCTTCAAACATCAAAGTAGAAATCAGATTTTTTGCAGCAAAATGGGGTCACTGCAAGAATAAAATTCTTAGATTGTTGAAAGGATAAAAAATGGTGCCGTTTTATTTAAATGGAAAGAAACAGGAGACAACGTGTAATGGAGACATTCTTTACCACTCTCCACTTCCTCTCTATTTAATGTTTTCATCATTAGATTAAACTTTAATGGCTAAAATTTATTTTATAAAGATATTATTAAAATATTAAATATTAAATAATAAAAATATATAAATAAATTTATACTGTTAAGTGTTAAAATTTGATATAAGTTGTTTAATATAATAAATTTTTATTATATTTAATATTATAATAATATTTTTACTCAATTTTAAATCTCAGCTATTGGAAGTTAATCCAATGATAGAGAAATTAAGTGAAGAGGAAGTGGAGAGAGAAGTTAGTGGAGACATTCTTATCCTAAGATTTATCAGCTATTTTTTCATAAATTTAGCATTGATATTAAAATGATAAATAAAATCTAAAAAATAATTTATTATTTATGAATATGGTAAGTTTCTTAATTTTTTTCGTTGGATAAAATAACGATATGTTGGCCAAAAAAATTATACATCTTCATTTTTATAAAATAATAAATAAATTAACTGACAATTGTAAAAACTCAGTATTTTTTAAGAGTTACTATAATTTTGAGAAAATGACACAAAATGATACTTAAACTCGGAAATCTCAAAATAGTCACTTGAATAAGCAAAATCTTAATTTAGGCATAAATAACTTATGTGAGATTTGTAAATTTATTGAAATGACCATATTATCTTTTTTTATTGTTCTTAAAAAACTAAATGCCCTCGTTGGCTAACTGGTTGCAGGAGCTCAGGTGCCCACCGTCACTTGAGCTCCAGTGGTCGATTGACAATCAGTCACCGGAGTTCAAATAGGTGATAACTATTTTTTTGAAAATTTTTACAATTTTAATAACATGATTAACAAGTTTTGTAATGCTATTACCAAGTTCACTATAGTAGTTACTAACAGGCTTTTCAGAAAATTCAAAAAGTAGCATTTTTATAATTTCAATAATGTCATTAACAAGTTCCATAACATTATTAACAAGTTCGGTATAACATTTAATAATAGGTTTTCTAAAAAATTCAAAAAGTGATATTTTTATAACTTTAGTAACACGATTAACAAGTCATGTAACGATATTAACAACTCTCATAAAAGTTAATGTTTTTAATATTAGCTCCATGTAAAGGTTGTACAACAAAAATTTTTCCACTTATTAGATAGTCATTATGGTTATGAGAATTGTTAATATCGTTACATGATTTGTTAACCTCGTTATTGAAGTTATAAAAATGCCACTTTTGAATTTTTTTTAAAATCTGTTGTTAAATATTATATTGAACTTGTTAATAGAGTTACAGAGCTTATTAACGGCATTACTAAAATTGTAAAAATGCTACTTTTTGAATTTTCTGGAAAACCTATTGTTAACTGCTATACTAGACTTGTTAATAGTGTTACAAAACTTCTTAATCGTACTACTGAAATCGTAAAAAAAATAGTTGCCGGCCACCAAAGCTTCGGTAAGGACAACCACCTGAGCTCCAGCGGCCTCCGCCGGCACCGAAACTTTAGTGACCAACCAGCCAATGAGGGTATTTGGTTTTTTTAAAAACAATAAAAAAAATAAAGGATAATATGATTATTTCAACAAATTTGCAAATCTCAAATTGGTCATTTATACCTACAAGTGACTATTTTGGGATTTTCAAGTTTAACTGTCATTTTTGTGTCTTTTTTCCTATAATTTTTGGTTAAGTTTATCCTCATTTTGGGTTTAGTCTCCTAAGTTTCTTTTTATTTAAAATATTGGTCCCTATAATTTAATACTTCCTTTGTCTCTTTTTATAAACAACAACTATCACCTCTCCCATATCTCTAAATATAAGTAACATTTTCAAGTTGCTTTAAAATTTTGAGGCAAATTTTCTATTTCTTTCTCATTAATTACTTATTTTAATACTCAATATATTTATTATCTTATTTTTCAAACTATTATCTCTCTCTATAACACATTCTTTCTGTTTCATAATTCTCTTTATTTTAATAATTTTCTTATTCTCTTTCTTATATTCTTTACCCCATAAATAAGGGTGTTTTGAAGGAAAAAAATTTCAATTTCTGCATATTTATTATTTTAAACCTATTTTAACTAATATTTTAATATACATGTAAAAATATGAACTATTTTACCCTTTGAGGTATCAAAACCTATGATTTAAAACTTAAAGGATTCAAATCAACGTTAGGACAAACTTGAGAGACCAAAGATTATATTAATCTATTTTTAAATAAGGTTGAGGGTTTTGAATAGTATAGATAAAATCAATTGTAGTTGGGGAACTATCTGTTCGGATTAAAAAATACTTAAATTTTAATTAACAATAATATTAGATACTATATTAGTTGCTGTGGAATGTTATGAGGATATAACTAAATTCTTCAAGCATAGACGATGAGAGAGCCAAACAAGCTACTTGTCTTGAATGGATCTTTTGATTTCGATCATTACAATCAGCAAAGAAGTCCTAATATGTGACACATATCTTTCATTGAACAAACATATTCTACATTTACTCTTCAAAGTTGGAGTGAACTTGACATCATGTGTTCAATAATTTATTTCTATTCCTAGTACTTCCTCTTACATAACAGACCATATTTCACTCAAAAACACCTATATACGCTTTTGTTGTTTATTTTCTCTCCAAGTTTTGACCATTCGGTACTGATATTTGCGTGGATCTCCTTGGCCAGTGCCCAGTCATCTCTCAAGCGTGGCAATTGTTCTCTCAACTCATCTCTTTGAGCTAGGAGAAGCTTTCCTTCCTCAAAAATTTCTCTCTTTCTCTTAGTAACCATTTTCTCAGCTGATTCGAAAGCCCTGATATCAGATTTAATGGCGTTGATTTGATCCTCCAGCTCTTTCTTTCTCTCCTCCAAATAGGCCAATTGGCTGTGCAGCTCATTTTTCATGGTCATCACCTCCTTGAAATGGCTCTTGTTAGCTTCAAGACTTTCAGTTGTTTCATGCATTTTCAACACGCTGGCTTCGGTAATCTTCATTTTCTTGCTTGCATTGCTATAATCGCAACTCCAATGAGTAAATTCTCTTGAAACTTCTATTATCACTGATCTCATTTCTATTGACACTCCATCATCTGCAGATAATCCAGAGAGGCAATCCAATGTAGCTTTCATGGTACTATAATTTTTAGGCTCCAACATTTCAGAAAAATCTTTGGTGAGAAATTCTTGAAATGTCTTCCATGCTTTTTGGATTCCTTCACTTGGTTTGATATCAGTTTTCAATTCAGAAATAGATGTGATATCTTTTGAAGGTAATGGAACAAAGATCTCAGCATCTAAAGAAGCATAAAATGCTTCCATTTCCTCATCATCCTGAGTTTTGTTTATCTCATTTCCCTTGCATTCAAGCATTTGGCTATCCTCTGCCTCACAGGCTTCCCAGTTATCATTCACATTGTGACAATTATCTTTGAAGACTTGAAAATCTTCCACTGACTTGTTATTACTAGTGAGCTTCTTCAGTTCAGTCTCTTTGTTATCAGATTCTGTGACAGAATCAGAATCCAAATAGGGGTCTGTGAATCTGATCGCATTTTCTTCTTGTTGGATTACATGTATCCCACACCAACTCACAGTTACACTTGGAACTTCAGACATTTTTTCACAAGAAATCTCCACCTGATTCCAGTTATCATCCAAATAAGAATCAAACGCTTTCCCCTGGAAGGGAGGCAGCGTTCGCAAATCAAATAGCCAAACATGATCTGTCACCATTTTTGCGAAGCTTGTTGGTATTTCCAATTCAAACAATTCTTCACCATTAATGAAAAAGCGAACTTCGCAACTGAAACCCTCCTTCTTCATTTCACCCTCTACTGCAAAAACATAACATAGGGCAATCACTGGAAATTTCTCACGAACCCAAAATGTCATATATTCTTCTTTGCTGCAGAGATCAAACCATGTCGGAATGCTTGCTCCAGGCACAATAACATGTAACTCCCTTTCCTGAAAGGTATCCTGTGAAATAAGAAAAAAGGTAAGAAAATGTGAGGCACAAAAGATTAAAAGAGAAGATCTGACTTCACAGATACAAACCTGACTCAATAATGAACTTGACGACTCTCTATTCAATGATGTGCAATTACTTGCATCAATGAATCGTAAATTGGGAGGTAAGGTTGGAATTTCTTGGAGAAACTTGCAACTGTTTAAGTGAAGTAATTGCAAGTAAAGAAACTCCTGTATGCAGGATGAAAGCATTTCAAATTTGTTCCCTGAAAGGTCTAGTGAAGTCAACTTTGGAAAAGAGTGTAAAATTATGGGAAGATCTTCATCCAATAGGCCACAATTTTCTAGATTCAATGAATCAACATTATGGAAGGTAGGGGTATGCTGTCCCATGTCTTTCAATTTCTTCAAAAAATTTCGAAGTTGTGGACAACCCTCTATGTTAAGGTTTCTTAGATTTTGTAGCATGTCAAGGCTTTCTGGTAGTTCCTTGAGACCTAAGCAAGATGTCATGCATAGTTCCTGAAGTCCAATAAGGTTTCCAATGGAAGCTGGTAATTCTTCTATGCCACTACTTTCAATAGAAATGGATACGAGATTGTCCATTTTTCCTAAGATATCTGGGAATCTTTGAATGCTTGAACACCATATAAGGATCAGACTTTTGAGTGATGGCAACCTAATGGCACGTGGAAATGCCCTTAGTTTGGTGCATCCAGAAGCCCTCAACTCGACAAGTTTATCAAGAAATCCAACAGAATCATCAACCTCTTCTAAATTTGCACAATAATCAAGATTTAATTCTGTCAAATTTGGAACTCCAGAAATGTCAGGAAGTTTTGTTAAGTGATCGCAGTGGCTCAAATCCATAGATGTCAAAGAATCAAAATACTGCAAGTCAAAAATTGAATCACTATCAGATGCATGTTTTGAAGAAGCAGATGAAAAAGGAATTAAAAAAGCATCAGCAACAATGATATATACCCTGAATGGCTCCTGCATGGCAAAACAACTACGAGATAAGTTGAGTCCAACAAGTTTCTTTGGACGAAAATTAGATGGTAATGATGAGGAGGGGTATTCCATCCAATCAAGCAATCTTAAATTGTTTGGAAGATGTTGAGGGCTCCCAAAAATGTGTGCGTTCTTAACTATAAAAATTTTCATATTTCTCATCCTTTTAAAGGTGCTTGCTGTCAAGTGTACCATATAATGATCTGGGAGGTCCACCATCATGCCTTGAATTTTCCTTGATCCCTTTATGACGCAGCACAAGGAAATGACATAGTTAGGAATTAAAAAAAAAAAAAAAAGAGGAATAAAACCGACCAAGTTCTTTATTAAACAAAACATTAAGAATGTCAAAAGCATGGCTCTTACAGTATTTTGAGTAAGTACTTCATAAACATCTTCAGGGTGCCAAATTCTACTTCGATTTCCAGGCTCTAATGGAGAATCTTCTCTTACAACTTCCCTTCCCATGTCTTGTATTAGATCATGCATTCTTAATTTGTTATACCGATCAATAGTTACAAGAGATCTATCAATTAGGACACCGATACCAATTTTTGGATAGAAACCACAAGCTTTTAGCGTCTTTTCAACATATTCTACTGTCTCCCCTTTGAAGAAGCATGCAATGTCTAGGAAAATTTCTCTCTCATTCTCCTCCAAATTATCATAGGTTACTCTGAGTACATTCTGAACCTCTTTGTTGGGAATCTTTTCATATTTGTCCAATGCATCTTGCCACTCATCCACTGTTTTACCATACAAATTTGAACCCATTACTTTCAAAGCCAATGGAAGCCCTTCGGCATATAGCGCCACACGGTGTGAAATCTCAAAATAACCTGAATCCGGGGATTTTCTTTTGAAGGCATTCCAAGTGAACAGTTCAAATGCTTCATCATGATGTAGCTTCTTTACCTCGTATGTTTTTTCAACTTGATGAGTAGCTAGTAAGTGTTTATCTCTTGTTGTGATCACAATTACACTACCAGAACCAAACCAATCATGTCCTCCTGCTAAAGCTTGTAGCTGCTCTAATTTGTCAACATCATCAAGAATCAAAAGAACTTTTTTGCAACACAATCTTTTCTTCAAAATGGGGATTCCTTTGTAAATATTTCCTAGCTTAATGTTCTTGTCTCCAACCAAATCAAAAAGAAGTGCTTCTTGGAGCTGTGCTAAGCCTTTTGGTTGATTTGAACTTTCTCTAATATCAGCAAGGAAACATGCAGCATCAAATTCATTGGCAATCAAGTTAAATAGAGCTCTAGCAATTGTTGTTTTTCCTATACCTCCAAATCCATAGATTCCTATCATTCGAATTTGTTCACCTGGCTCCATATGCAAAAGTGATTTCACTTCTGATAAACAAGTTTCTAGTCCAACTGGATATTCGGCAATGTGCATAAGGGTGTGATTTAATTTACCAGAGACCTCTTCAACAATCCTTTGAATAATCTCAAATTCATACCTGGCCAGTTACAAGAAAGAGTAGCCAATCACAAAACAAGTAGGTGGAGAATCACTTCTTTCTGTCATAAAATGTATATGTCCATATATAATATAAATAAATAAGAATCGTACTTTCATGAGTTATGAACAGTGCAACTCACTTTAAGTTTTGTAAACACATTTTTGCACAAACCAGCAATCTATTTATGCTCAATCCTTTTCTGTATTTTAATGGCAATATCCTGTATGTTAATGAAGCAAGATATATTTAAGGACAAAGGAAGATCCCAAAAAAAAAAAAAAGTAAAGTCCGCACAATTCACTCGGATATGTACAAGAGCCTTGATAACCACTTAGAAAATGAACCAAGGATTTGATTCATCATTTGTTATGTTTTATTTAAGAACTTTTAACAAAAACCTAAAAAACTCTGCAAGCTTTTTTCCAATTATTTTGCAGGAGAAGAATCAATGGCTTACCCGTTTTCTAAGCTCCAACCAGACAAGTTAGCTGCTTCAGACAAAGCCAACTTCCACTTCTGCACCTTCTTCGTATTATTCTTGAACCTATCTCCATGCTTGGCCATGGCTATGCCAAAACTTCCCTTTTGATGGCGTACCACTGAGGGATCTACGTGGTGAAAAACTGGCAAAACCAATTGCCCCTTGACCTTCATGCAATCAAGGATCTTAACAAGCTCCTCCAGACACCATGTGGAAGATGCATAGTTTTCAGAGAATACAATAATAGAAATCCTTGACTCTTCAATTGCTTTCAGAAGAGATGGAGAAATTTCTTTCCCTCTCTTAAGCTCCTCATCATCTATGAATGCGTTAATCCCCTTCTGACGCAGAGCATGATAAAGAAAGCCGGTGAAACTTCTTCTGGTGTCCGTGCCCCTGAAACTCAGGAAAACATCATAGGTCCATCCTTGAGCGTAAGAACAAGATATCATAGCCATTCCTATCAGTTTTGGGAGTTCTTCGTTCAAACAGTACAAGACAGAATCAACAAGACTTTGAGGATTGGGATTGGCATATGATTATATAGAGAAAATCCTTACACATGCATTCATGTGCCTAACGCGTTCCGCATCTTTAGTAACAGCAAATGGTGGGGACATCAGTATTTAATGAATGTCATTATCAAGCATCGACCTTTTCTTTTATTTCAACAGAAAAATAAGTGGCTCATACCAATGGGTTCTTGGACTTTATTCGCAATGCTACTATGCTGCTCTGTTTATAAGTTTTGCCAACCAACGATGTTGATTTTTTTTTTTTTTTGGGGGGGGCGGGGTTTGTCTAGATGGTATTAAATTTTCATTCACATCGTTATTTTTGGCCTGACAAGTCACATCATTTTTTTACCATACAATATTCGTGAATAGATTGATTTTTCTTGCCAGAGGATGCCCATTTTTGGATTCTCATCTATGAAATGTGATTCAAAGTGATCTCTCTAGCAGGACCAAACAAAATAGTTTTAACATTTTCCTCAGCAAACTTTGCTAGTTCTGTGAAAGTTCTAAGACCACATGACAGATGCAGCAAGGCTATGCTTGTCGGAAGGCTTCATATTCATCGGAACTGAGATATATACGAGTTTACATGGTAATGGTACTCTACTTTATATTAGAAGGATGTACCTTATTTTTGTTGAAGAAATAATAGGATAGAATATACTCCTCTGATCATTAGTATAAAACATATTTTGTAGTATAATTTAATTTGTATTATAAAATTGATCTTATATTTAGAACCGGAGGAAATAATTTTATAAAATTGTGAAATTTAAAAAGTTTTATTATTAACAATTTGAAATCAAACGCATTATTTGCATACTATTAAAAATTCAATTATGTTCAGTGCAATATGGCAGAAGAGTTAATATAACCTGTCAAAATTTATGGAGATTTTGGTCATCCTTTAAAAAATGGATAGAGATATGGTTGGAAAATAGGTATAGTTGCCGTATAAAATAAGATTTTCCATTTTTTTAAATGAAGTCAATCATCAATGGAATGGCAGGGCACGCACAGGAAGTCAACTAGCTGCATATGACTTTCTTTTGCTTTAATTATTATCATAAGCAAGGTCTAAAATCAGAAACTTCCAGGAAACCCATCTGCGTCAATAAATAGAGAATATTGACAATCAGAAACACACTTTCGAGAGAAAAAAAAAAATCTAAAACAGGCATTTTGATTGAAGTGAAACGGCCTTTGAATGTGCTTCCACACACTGGGTAAAATAAAACAGAACCAAAAAAAAAAAAAAACAAAGAAAGAGAACCGATCTTGTGTTTTTTTCAATGCTCTTTTTTTTTTTTGTGTTTTCTTTTGAGTAAATATATACAGCACAATTCCTATCGTTTTTAGCACTGATCTCCTGTGCTTAATATAAGAATTAAATAATTGATTTGGGTATTATTAAGAAAATTAGTTGAATTAGTAATAAAAGACATTATTTTTTCTAAAATATTTTATTAATCATATGTAATGAAACTACTCCCTTGTGGAAAATTCTTAACATGTATAATCATTAATCAACATAGAGATTACTTGAAAGAAAAATGGATAAATATTAAAAACCAAGTAAATTATGATCTTATATTTATGATCAAATTGAATCTGTAACTAACACTTATATTAAGAATCCAAGATACAATAGAATGTTTTTTTACAAAACGTAAACAAGTACTCCTCCAGTTTTTAATATAGGATCCAATTTTGAGTTGGTTTTGATCCTAAATGTAAGATTCATTTCTCATATTTATCAATTTTTTTCTAAATTATCCATATAGATACTCCCTCAACCATAATCAAGTAAAAAAAAAGAGAAAATATTAAGAAAAATGATTATGGTGTTTTAGGAAAAATGTGTCACATTTTTTATAATTAACTAACTTACCTAACTTTTTTAATTTAATCAAATTAGTTAAACGGGTCTTATCTTAAGGACCGGAGGAGTATATTATTATAATTCGTCTGTGTTACACCTCAGAATAAATTTTACTTCCTTGGTTAGGATTAGTTGGAATGATCGTTGGTCCGAGGTCAATTTCTTGTCACCATTTTAGTTTTTCTTTCGGGCTTTAGGCCTTCTTAGTTCCTGGTTGAATAATTCTTTTTTCAAAAGGAGCACGGTGCCCTGTTTGGGCCCAACTAGAGCACCTTATTCGGCTATTACTTTTTTTCCCCTCCTGTTTTGGCTTTAAAAAAAGATTAACATACTCTCAAGTTTGTTTTCATTTTTATTTTGATCTCTCATATTTTAAATCATAGGTTTTAGTCCTTAAAGAAGCAAAATAATCTAGGTTTTTATAATATTACAAGGACCAATGGAAAAAAAAAAAGAAGAACCAAAACCTATGGTTTGAAACTTGAATAAGGGTATAATTGAAATACTAAAAATTGTATTAACCCTTTTAAAAATTATTAATATAACTTTAAAATATGAAATGAGTAAAATAAAATTTACGATTGGTCATGTTGATGACAAAAATCAGTAATGCTTGAGTTTAAATTATTTATTAATGTCAATACCGTATGGCTGCATAAAAAACATTTTTCAAAATGCATTTTCTTAACGGTTGTTATGAAATACTGATTTAGTATTAACCTTCTTAAGCTCTGGCAAAAATTATCTTTTTAAGAGGCTTTAGTTGTCAATCTCCCAAAACATGAGGGTACATTTACCTTTATGTACGATTGTGCTGCACAAGGCCTTGTTCTTGGGCTGAAAAACAGGCTATGTTTAACTCGCTGGGCTCATTTGCGCCCTTTCGGCATCATGTATTTGGGCTAAACAATGACTAATTTACAAAAAAAGCCTAAGGAAAAAAATTTTGCCGATTTAATTTCTTCTTTAAAAAAATTATCAATTGAATAGTGTAAGGTGTATTTGAAATAACTTATAAACAACTTTTTAATTATGATGTATGAAACACAAGGTAAGTATATAAGATAAGTTTTGCCTCGATTTAGTGAAACGTGCTTATAAGTACTAATGATCATGATTCCAAATAAGGTCGTATATGTTTAATCTAAACAAATTGTGTCAATAAAGTTTATGTGCGACAGAAATTTTGCCCAATGCTAATAGTCTTGTAGATTAGTGGTATACAAATTTTAAGCATTTGAGAATTTACAAGTTTGATCTTATTTATAACATCACGCTGTTAATATCTATTTTTCTAATTCAAAAAGAAATCCTGCCCAAACACATGAAGAGTGGAGGAGAGGAGAGGAGATGAGGTATTTATTGAGAACATTTGATGGTGTTGTGATAATTAAAGTTGACATTTGGGTCATCCTTTCCTACCTCAAACTAGTATTTCTTACGGTCACACACAGGTATTAGAAATTTAGCTCTTTAATGAAGCATTTGTTAAATTTTGATATTGTGACAAGTCAAATGGCATTTTTGTTGTCAAATAAATAGCTATTAAGAATATATAATTAAACAATTTAAATATAAAAAATAACAACAATGTGGTTTAAATCTATTTTAAAACCAAATAATTGAAATTGAATCCATCAACCTTTATAGTTTATCACACTTAAAATTTATATGAAGATCACATGTTAAATCACTAAACATAATCAAATTAAAAAACAAATATAAATTCAACAAAGATCATCCAATGTTGGAATATCATGATCTCCATGTTCAAATTCTTTACCTTCACCATTATAATCTCCACTTTTTTTATTGAAATAACAAGAAACTAAAATGTCAGCAGGTATTTACATATTCAAACATGATTTGGCATATACTAAAATATTGAAATTTGTGTCCATGTTTCTAAATAAGACATTACGACATGTTTTTATTATAAACTTCATCATGAATATAAAGTATGCATAATTTCGTTGTTACTAAAAAATGTTTTATTTTTTATACATTGGAAAAGACTGAAAAATGTTCTAAATTTAACAGTATAAAATCCACCATTTCTTTTTTTTTTCTCCCAAACAAAAAAAAAAAGGTATGTTTGCAAGCCAGACAAGTACGGTTTTTCTTCCCCCCCCCCCCCGGTCAAAAGAATTCATTTTACTAATTGCCAAAAAAAATTAAGTTACACACTAATCACCGAAGCCAAGAAACAAAACTCTCCAAAAACACCTATCAACACAGCCTAACATACCTCTTTCCAAGAAGAAAAAACAACCAGTTTAGCACAAAATCACAATACAGTCCTGAATAAACAGTTAAAAAACACAAACAGAACTAAGCATAGCAGTAGTAAGCAATAGCAACTTGTATCAGAAAATTAACAAACACCTTTCATGTTCCAATTATTCTGCAGAACCACCATTGGGCTTCACCTCTCTCTTCATGCAGCTGCAAGAAAATCTGCATATACGATCACCCATATGTTTCTAAAACCGTAGGATTCAAATCGCGTTTCTGACAAAAATAGAGTTATTATAGTATTATCCTTGCAATTAAAGCTGTTCTTGATCCATGAATGAATATTCAAATTGAATGATACGATGCTGATATGCCCATATTGACCCCTGACCCAGCAAGTGGTCGCGCAAAGATTAATAATGGAATTTATTATATCCAAGAAGTACTGCATCTGATCTTAGAGTTGGATCAGGTTGTCAACAAATCAAACAGAACAGGACACAAGTTTAAATTAAAAAAAACATGTATTATATTTGAACCCAGAGAGAGTAATTTTTTATAATATTCTTAAAGACTCGTTTTTGTGGGGCTTCTTTTCCAAGGCCACGCCGCCACTTGGAGGACCACCACCGCCATACATAAGACGGATCTCAGAGAAGATCTTGACAACCAACTTCTCCGATCACTGTCACCATACTGTTTTCATTCTTCAGTTGTTCAAACCGCGACGGAGCGCCCGCAAACCAAACTCTGACGCAACAACTCTCCGATCAGAGAGACGCCGTTCCGATCGTCAATGGGGACATTGTTGGTGGTGACATCAAGTAGCCCCTTGTTG